TGCATGAGATGGGTGCATTCTTTTTCTTTTCTTTTGAGATGGAGTCTCACTCTGTCATCCAGGTTGGATGGAGTGCATTGGCAAGATCTCAGCTCACTGCAACCTCCACCTCCTGGGTTAAGCCATCCTCCTGCCTCAGTCTCCTGAGTAGCTGGAATTACAGGCGTGTGCCACTATGTCCAGCTAATTTTTGTATTTTTAGTAGAGATGGGGTTTCACATGTTGGCCAGGCTGGTCTCGAACTCCTGACCTCAGGTGATCTGCCCACCTTGGCCTCCCAACGCGCCTGGCTGAGATGGGTGGATTCTGGGGCCCAGCTCTCGAGCAGATCCCTGACACACTGAAGGAGCTTCCTGTGCCACACTTACAGCCTTTCTGCTTTTCCCCCAAGACGAAGAGCTGCCCCTGCCACTGGACCTGCCTCCTCCTCCACCCCTGGATGGAGATGAATTAGGGCTGCCTCCACCCCCACCAGGCTTTGGGCCTGATGAGCCCAGCTGGGTGCCTGCCTCATACTTGGAGAAAGGTACCTGACTTCTGGGACTGAGGGGCACCGGATCCCACTTCCTAGCTTCTGCCTCTGTTGTCCTGACCCCCATTCTCCTCCCTCTGCAAAGGTGTGAATCTATCCCCCGGGCTCCCTACACAATTTTTCTGACGAACTGAGTTCAGAACAGAACTGGGGCGAGGGCAGCTGGCTTGGTATTAAATATTAACTAAGCTGGGGAGGGGTCCTAAAGGCTTGGAAGCCCCTCAAGATGGTCCCTAGAGTCTAGTACTTGAGACCCTGCATCCCCATGGCGGTGGGGGTGGTGGGGGGGAGAGGGCAAGAGGCATATCTCACAGCACCCTCTTCTTTTGCCCTGCAGTGGTGACACTGTACCCATACATCGGCCAGAAGGACAATGAGCTCTCCTTCTCTGAGGGCACTGTCATCTGTGTCACTCGCCGCTACTCCGATGGCTGGTGCGAGGGCATCAGCTCAGAGGGGACTGGATTCTTCCCCGGAAACTATGTGGAGCCCAGCTGCTGACAGCCCAGGGCTCTCTGGGCAGCTGATGCCTGCACTGAGTGGGTTTCATGAACCCCAGGCCAAAACCAGCTCCAGTCACGGCTGGACTGGGTCTGTCCAGCTCTTGGGCTGTGAGCTGTGTTCTGTCCCTCTTCCCATCGTGGAGGGAAGGGGTCCTGCGGAGAGAGAACTTACCCAGAGGCCTGTTGCAGATGGGGAAGAGCTGGAAACCAAGAAGTTTGTCAACAGAGGACCCCTACTCCATGCAGGGCAGGGTCTCCTGCTGCAAGTCCCAACTTTGAATAAAATGGATGACGTCCTGTGACTGCCCCACGGAGATAAGGGGCCAGGAGGGATTGAAAGGCATCCCAATTCTAAGGCTGCTGCTAATTACAGCCCCCAACCTCCAACCCACCAGCTGCCCCAGAAGCAGCATCTTTCCAGTCCCTCAGTACCCACAAAGTGCAGCCCACATTGGACCCCAGACACCCCTCTGCAGCCATTGACTGCAACTTGTTCTTTTGCCCATTGCTTGCTGTGTGTGTGATGTGTTCATATGTGGCCCAAGAGTGGGAACCATCTCCCTGACTTAAGCGGGACTCTCCTAGAGCACCTCACTCTCAACTCAGACTGACGCGCCAGAGATCTCAGTCATTTCTTCCCCCTTCACCTCCTTTATAGTTGTAAAACACCAGAGGAAGGAGGGGCTTGGGTTTCGCTGATTCTGCTTAAAAAAAACATCATGGCTTTCTGTTCCATGGGGGTGGGGAGGGGGATGCGTGGAGGGCCCAGCCCGCAAGGGTGACTTTGGTAAAGTCCCTGGTCTCTTGCTGCATAGATGAGGCTGGGGTGCAAGGAGACACCGTCACACGCTGCGAGGTTATTGGCTGGCAGGACCCGGGCCGGACGGTGCAGTACCTCGTACCACCACCAGGAGGCGATTGTTCCCTCTGGCTTTTCCGTTGGGGGTGCTAGAAGGGAGTGCGGAGGTCGGAAGGCAAGAGGGTGTAGACAGCACAGAAATAGTGTGGGGTTGCGTTGGGTGAAGCAAGATCGCAAAGGCCTAGGGCCATAGGTGGAGACCCTTTCTGTCCGTGGGGAGTCCTTGTGGCCAGGAGAATTTCAGGATCCTGGGTTCCCTCCACAGCAGACTGGAGGGGGGGCGGTCACGCAGCCCAAGGCAACAGTTACAGCGGCGGGAGATGTTCCTTCTCTCACCTGCCGGGGAGCCCCTTCCTCCCAGTTGGTAGGACCAGGAAACACTGCTGCCTTCCAAAGTTTGCGCGCCACCCCGCGATGGGTCAGACTCCAGAACTCAACCGTGCGCAGTGGAGCGGGGGAGGCAGCCGAGGTGGGTTAACTGCATAGATAGGGACGGCTCTGAGCCCCCTTCCCCAAGCCCCTAAAGACGAGATTCCAGAAATTCCCGGAGGGACATAGCAAAGCCAAAGGGAAAAGGGAGTAGTAAAACTAACTTTGTCTTTCCCGAATCCCCCTTCCCCGCCCCCTCCGCCGTTGGCCGGGGTGCCCCCTGCAGGCGGCCAGACTCAGCACGACTTCAGCACCTGTTGCAGGTGGAGGCGCACGTCGGCGGCCGTTTCCCAGGGCACCACGCTGGCACGGAACGAGCTGGGCTCGGCCTTCTGGGCCTCCTGAATGAGGCGGTGCATGGGGTAGCCGCGGCGTGGGAAGGCCACGTCGCCGCCCGCCAGCAGCCCCATGGGGCAGAAGTCGTTGGCGCCGTCGCCCACGTAGAAGAGGCGCTCGAAGTGCACGCCATCGTGGGAAGGCCACGTCGCCGCCCGCCAGCAGCCCCATGGGGCAGAAGTCGTTGGCGCCGTCGCCCACATAGAAGAGGCGCTCGAAGTGCACGCCATCGTGGGCCCGCTCGCGCAGGTAGTCGCTGAGCACCTTGTGCTTGCACATGTTGGCGGGGCATCGTGTGCAGCTGTGTGTGTGGAACGGCCGCAGAGCCAGCAGTCCCCGCGCATCCGGCCCCGATGGGTTGCTGAGGATACGGCGGAACAGGCTGTGGTGGCCGGCGGCGCGCA